AATGTAAGTGGACGGCTTGTTAAACTCTGCTCAGAACAGCTCTCCTACATTTTCGTTACATATTTAATCCATCTTTGAAACTCACAGCAAACTAATGTTTAGGAAAACTTCAGAATTTATTCCGATTCCAAAGACAAAATGTCACTAGCAACAACGACTTGTGTCATGGCTAATGACCTCTATAGAGACCTGCACCATTTCAAATGTAAGGTAGGCCGTATTACTTTATGAAATACTTGTGCGGGCCGAAAGATAATAGGAGAAGTGTGGGGAAGCTATTAAGTAAATAATAATAATAAAGAAATATTTCATTACTTCGTGGGCCTCAAAGTGGGTGCTGGTGAGCCGCATGCGGACCGTATGTTGTGCAGTCCTGCTCTAATGTAATCAAATGGTTTGAGAAGCTTATCGAAAGAAAAATTTTGAATGAATTACAGCAAAAAATTGCCCCCCCCCCAACGAATTTGCTTCTAAATCTGCCAGAAGTACTAATGATGTCATCTTACCTTAAATGGAAAGACTTTACCATCACCAAGACACCTCTAAAAATGTACTAGAGTGCTTTTTAAGACTTTTCATCAGCATTTAATACCATCCAACAACACCTTATTATTAAAAACTTTCTTTGTTAGCTGTCAATTCAAATTTTCTAGACTGAACTTTTTACAAATCACCCAAAATATGTCAAGTTCAATGACGACATATCATTAACTAGACAAACAAGAACCGCGGCTGTTGCTTTCTCTCCCCTGTCCTGTGTACAATGCATGTAATGTATATCCAGAGCCCAAGCAACACCGTTTGTTATGTAGCACACATTCCCCGTGCCTGAACTTTGCTTGACCTTGTGGGCGTGGTTTAAGTTCTATTTGATGTATCTTGTTTACAACTGGCGGCCAATTACACATTGGGTAGTGTGTCTCCTGGTATCTAGTTGAATCTTCTCGATAACCCGAGAAATGTAAACAACACGTCATTATTCTTTTCTGGAAGCGTCTTACGCTACATGTATATAAGGGATTGACAGATACGGAGAGACGGAGATTCAGATATATATTTTTACTTTACGAGGCGTGCATTATTCTTTGTATATTTGTGTGCTCGCATGTGTTTATTTCGCATTCATCATTCTTCTTCTTCTTCCTCTATATCTTAAGGGCCCACGATCAATTTATTGATCATTTTGGCTCCTATTCATTGGCACATTAAAAGGAAAAGTACGAACTGTGTTAACTGTGTACCGGTACAAGATATACCATACTGTAAGTTGATGATTTGTAATGATATTTCATTTCTTTTGTAATTACATTCATACTTATTAAATCTTATTAATTGTAACTAGCAACTGTTTTGGATGTCGTATCTTTAATATTGTTGACTCTATGGTATCGTCCTTTGTTAGGCACTGTTTATAACGAGCCAATTAAAATTAAAATAGAAGATTAATTTCTCATATTAGAAGCCGGTGCGTAGCACCGTTACAATCATTAAATTAGATGATGATACCACCATCTTTGATTCTTATGATGAGACTTCATGCATTGTCTATTATACCATGTAATATAACAATCAGTTGGACATTTAACAAATGTACAGTTCTATGCAATAACTTGTTCCATGGTGTATTGTTTAGAACCTAAGTCTTTGGGACGCGGAATTCTGCAATCCGAAGTTTCAATCTCGATTGAACCTAAATTCTTTTTTCACATTCCCAATATGCAAGATTCTTTTTTCCCATTCCTTATTTGCAAGATTCTTTTTTCCCATTCCCATTTGCAAGATTCTTTTTTCCCACTCCCCATTTGCAAGATTCTTTTTTCTCATTCCCTATTTGCAAGATTCTTTTTTCCCATTCCCATTTGCAAGATTCTTTTTTCCCATTCCATTTGCAAGATTCTTTTTTCCCCATTCCCAATATGCAAGATTCTTTTACTTTTTAAAAAGATTACGTCACCTGTCATGAAAACATTGGCTATCCTGGGGTCCGTATCAGGGTCGTATTGACTGCTCGCGTCACAACCCAGGTTGTACCTGGCTATGAGATCTGGGCCGAGAACTACGGGCAGCCACTCATAGAATACAATTTTTTGCAAAATCGCTCCCAAGATTTTCCTCCCTTCCTGTGCAGAAGATTTGTGTGGGGGGGGGGGGGGGGAAACATCAGCATGTTAGTTTTAAAATGTCAATGTCTCAGCAGCTCTGTGTCAACAATTGAATCTCTGGCCTTTATCTTCGTATGATAATGAGTCGTTCAAATAAACATTAATTTGTTGCATGTTGAGTGAGCAGAAGAACAATTGTTTTAGGGTCTTGTGATAGCGCCAACAGCTAGGTAAAATAGGCTGATAGATGGGACATATAGACCCTGGCTCGGACAACTATGCAATATTTAACAAAGACTTTATTGACATTTTTGAAGTTGTATTAAATTTAACGTCAAGTGTTGTACGCTTAGCCCAACAGCTCTAACACACCGTTCACAAAATGAGACGATGTACTAAACTAATGCTGACAAACTTTGTTTGTATAGTATCATACGCGTACCTAGGGTTAGTGCCAGCCGGGGTGGTCCTAGATTTTTACCGCCCCTTCCGCATAAAAAATTATGCATTTTGCCGAAAAAGCTGCCCCTCCACATAAAGCTAAAAAAAAGTTCCGCCTTTGGCAGACCACCCCCTTCCAACAGCACTGTACATGATCACCCCCTTCCAACAGCACTGTACATGATCCCCCCCTTCCAACAGCACTGTACATGATCACCCCCTTCCAACAGAATTGTACATGATCCCCCCCTTCCAACAGCACTGTACATGATCACCCCCTTCCAACAGCACTGTACATGATCACCCCCTTCCAACAGCACTGTACATGATCACCCCCTTCCAACAGCACTGTACATGATCACCCCCTTCCAACAGCACTGTACATGATCACCCCCTTCCAACATTGCTTTGTGTTCTTCAATGACATTGCTTTGTGTTCTCTCCTTTTTGACCTTTTGCTTTTTTATTATTGATAATTACCATGTGCGATTTCTATTTCAAACTAAAGTTGTTGTTCTTAAAGGCCATTGTTTTTTGTTGTTGTTTATTGTTTTAAACCATTATTGTACACATTTTTCATCTAACGCCCTGATTCGGTCAATATCCTTATGTTCTACGAGCGTTTTTCGAACAGTGCAACAAACATTTCAACGCTAGTGTTTGAAGCTATTGAAGTGATCGCCAGGATGTTAACATAGGTTATGAGTAGTGGGAACACCAAAATAGTAAAGGTTTGAAATGAAGGTACAGACCAGCAACATTTTTAACGCTAGCTGAGCGCCCTAAAGGGTGGCCAACATTTTTTTGTTATAAAAACAAATTTAAAAAGGAATTCATTTAAACATAGACAACACTTGATTTCTGACACTTGACTTCTCATTATTCTGGAGTCAAAATATCATTTTTGAAATTCATTGGAGCATTACATTTTCTTTGTTTGTTTTTTCAAATCGCTTGTATTTGCATCATTTTGACAGATGGGATAGAGGGAACTCTGGATAGAGCTACATGCATCCATTTAATTTAACATATAATTTGTTTTTCCACACCAAATACTTTAATTAATTTCTTGTTAACAAATGTCAATCTTAAAATGTCTTTTACATTGATGTATTAAATATGGCAATAATGACGTCATTTTCTGGGATCTTAAATGCTGCGCCGCGCACTTATATGTAAAACTCTTTAACTAACTTGATTAGTCTCTCCAGAAACTCGTCCCTCTCCCCCATAGACAGCGACGAGGCCATGACAGGCAGTTCTGGCTCATACCAGCAAAAACCCAGTACAGGAACTGCTCATTCCTGCCAAAGACAATCAGGGACTGGAACATGCTTCCAAAAGGAACAGTTCAGGCGAAAACACTAGACACATTTGTGTCTAATGACTCGGGGCTTCCAAACCCCAGTTCTTGATACCCTCGCTGAGTAGCCCTTGAGCCAGTGAAATATCCCTCTTCAATACCAGGCACAGAAACACCGCCAATTCCTCGACATACATAGCAGCCAGAATGATCGATACAATAATTGTGGGCCTTTAATACATAGAAGAAAGTTTGTGTTTTCTTTTAGAGTGAACGCCATTACATATTCTGAAAATAAATGCTGTTCAAAAAGTTGTCTCCCTTTAAGATGGGAAGCTATTGGAGGTGATCAAAACAAGCAGGTTTTGCTGTGTAGAGAAATATGGGCAGAAAAGAATTCCACCAGCGACTCACCAACAAACTCCACTCACTAACAAACTCCACTCACCAACAAACTCCACTCACTAACAAACTCCACTCACCAACAAACTCCACTCACCAACAAACTCCACTCACTAACAAACTCCACTCACCAACAAACTCCACTCACTAACAAAATCCACTCACTAACAAACTCCACTCACTAACAAACTCCACTCACCAACAAACTCCACTCACCAACAAACTCCACTCACTAACAAACTCCACTCACCAACAAACTCCACTCACTAACAAACTCCACTCACCAACAAACTCCACTCACTAACAAACTCCACTCACTAACAAACTCCACTCACCAACAAACTCCACTCACTAACAAACTCCACTCACCAACAAACTCCACTCACTAACAAACTCCACTCACCAACAAACTCCACTCACTAACAAACTAACAAACTCCACTCACTAACAAACTCCACTCACCAACAAACTCCACTCACTAACAAACTCCACTCACCAACAAACTCCACTCACTAACAAACTCCACTCACCAACAAACTCCACTCACTAACAAACTCCACTCACCAACAAAGTCCACTCACTAACAAACTCCACTCACCAAAAAACTCCACTCACCAACAAACTCCACTCACTAACAAACTCCACTCACCAACAAACTTCACTCACTAACAAACTCCACTCACTAACAAAATCCACTCAGTTCGTGTCAAATATCTTATTGGTTATCTCTACATATTGCTTGAACATTTATTCCCTCATATCACTAACAAACAAAGAGAAGATCAAGTAAGTGGTAACACAGCTTAAAGCAGAAACGTTGACTTTAATATCAGCAACATGATTGCTATCAACTATTAACATACAACATTACAGTAACACAATTTGATCTATACCAATAACCAAAACAAGAAACGTCATGGTTGGACACCGACTTCAATAATTAATCTTTTTATTGATGCAACTTTGTCATTTTTATTTCTGATATAATTAGTGGTGCATTTTAAAAACAAACAAAAAGAGAAACATAGGTTTTATTATTTTTTAATTTTATATATGAATCAATTAATAATTAGCTTTATTACAAATAAAATATTTATTTTTCTGAAATTAACAAAAATTATTTTTCAAGTAGTTAAAGAAATAAAACTGAAACAAAATAAAATCAACAACTTTTGACCCACATGGAGTTTTCAACATGAAAGGTTACATCGAAACCAATTGTAAATCTTATCAAACAAGTTTTCTGTTTATTGAATCGCTTCATTGTTCTCACCACTTATTTTTTCCTTGGTTTATTTATGAGATAACTTTTACCTAGTCCATTCTATAGCAAGACAGCTGCATTAGTGTTGAAACTATTTGACCTCTTGCTACCCAAATGAAGAAGAAAAACAAAAATGACATGACTTTCTCCTGAAGAAAACTTGTTCACCAGACCATGTAGCCTTAATAGTGTGATGTTATAGGCCTACTCTGAACAGGTTGCTATAACAGACCTGTTTACCCTCAAACTCTTAAAATCGTTCAATATCATCACAAAATCGTTCAATACCTTATATTTAGAGTAAAAAAATATGCATACAGTAGGCCTATATATGTTTACACCTCAAAATCGTACATTGTACGCCAAAATCGTAAGAGTAAACAGGTCTGCTATAAAAGTGACCAGAAGAATGCCACTTGTAAAATCAGGAAAGGGATGATAAATCAAGTTCTTTACAGCTAAGTAAGATTTCTTCCATATGCATGCCAGGACTGATGATAATACTGCTACTAGAGATCAAAGTTTCTTGCTTGATCCCACAATTTAATTAAATGCATTTCTTTCATTTTCTAATCAAACTAATAATCTCCTACATATTAATGATAACATTTAGAGAATAGGCCCTTTTAAAGAAATACTTATTAGGGCCTACATGTAAAACGCAGAGGTAAAAAAACTAAATTTAAAAAAAAAACTGTAAATGAAAGGAGTTTCAATTTCTAATGTTAGTTTTCTTTGTCAAGAATGTTTGTGATATCCATAGACAACACTAGTGATAAACATGACCCTGTTTTTTTCTCCTAGGAAGTGAAGGACATCTTGGTTTAAGGATTCCACCTTTAGAACTCACATTGGAGGGGGTAGTGGTGGTGGTGGAGGTGGTGGAGGGGGTGGTGGAGGGGGTGGAGGACCTCCAGATGGTGGTGGTGGTGGTGGTCCTGGTGGAGGTGGTGGTCCTGGTGGTGGCGGTGGTCCAGGAGGAGGAGGAACTGCTGATGGCTGAGATGGTGCTGCACCTAAAATAAATGTATTTTAGAATGTAAAAAAATATAATCAACAAACAATACGAAGGGCCTTACATTAACCTTTTACAACCAATGTTTGCTACAAATTATCACATTTTTTATGTAAAAACACTATAATTAATGAACAGTAACTTTTCGTTTGAATTTTATGTTTCTGATGACATGTACAGAAGATGCCATGTTTATACAATGATCTGTGTGAATTTTCATAAAATTGATAAGTTTTGAACAAAGCTCTTTAGAACAGAAAAACAAGAAAAATATATATGTAAGCTACATTAGAAGAAGAGTGCATATTATCTGTCAGCCAAAACTTTTATTACAATGCAAAGAAAAAGAATGGACATTTTTAGCAGTCATATTAGTTCAACTTATCTTAAAATTAGTATAAAAATTATAGAAAATATTTAATCACAGTTAATCCTAGATCCTCAAAGTTATTTTACTAATATGTGCTCTTCACTATTAAGATATAAAATTGTTTGGGAAAAAAAGTAATTAAAAATTAAATATTCAATAATAGAAAATTGAAATATAATGATACTACAAGCTAATAGGCTCAAATATTAAACTTAAGCTTCTGCCCTTGATGACATCAATACTTAACTATAGCTTCTGCCCTTGATGACATCAATACTTAACTATAGCTTCTGCCCTTGATGACATCAATACTTAACTATAGCTTCTGCCCTTGATGACATCAATACTAACTATAGCTTCTGCCCTTGATGACATCAATACTAACTATAGCTTCTGCCCTTGATGACATCAATACTGAACTATAGCTTCTGCCCTTGATGACATTAATACTTAACTATAGCTTCTGCCCTTGATGACATCAATACTTAACTATAGCTTCTGCCCTTGATGACATTAATACTTAACTATAGCTTCTGCCCTTGATGACATCAATACTTAACTATAGCTTCTGCCCTTGATGACATTAATACTTAACTATAGCTTCTGCCATTGATGACATCAATACTTAACTATAGCTTCTGCCCTTGATGACATCAATACTTAACTATAGCTTCTGCCCTTGATGACATCAATGCTTAACTATAGCTTCTGCCCTTGATGACATCAATACTTAACTATAGCTTCTGCCCTTGATGACATCAATACTTAACTATAGCTTCTGCCCTTGATGACATTAATACTTAACTATAGCTTCTGCCATTGATGACATCAATACTTAACTATAGCTTCTGCCCTTGATGACATCAATACTTAACTATAGCTTCTGCCCTTGATGACATCAATACTAACTATAGCTTCTGCCCTTGATGACATCAATACTTAACTATAGCTTCTGCCCTTGATTACATCAATACTTAACATTTTTTAAAGGTTTTCCAAGTATCAAAAGGTCAATATCTTAGTACAGGGCAGGTTGTTTTGTATGTCATCAACAACATTTCATCTTATCTTAAATGTTCATGGGTGACACCATATTTAGTACATATTTAAACTGTTATGAAAGCAGTTATTTAAATTTTTAAAAAATAAGTCAACATTTTCCTGAACATGCAAAATGCAGAAGTTTTCAAAAAAGCAAAAGTCAATTCAAATATTTATGTGTATAATTTTCAAACATGTTGGTGAAAAGTTCAAACTCTATTTGAAAGATTAGTGTAGTGTCCAGCATAAAGTGTATGAAAATTGTTTTTTTTAAAGTAACTAAGAGAGAAAGAATGCATCAGTTTTAGCTTTTTAATAGTTCCTTTTTTTAAAATGTTATTTACCTTTAGAAAACCGATTCTTAAATTCTAAAAGAGATTGTGGTCATTATTTATTTAGTTTAATTTAAATAATTATAGGTGTATTATTGACTGGCATTTTTAACCTCATATAGCCATTTTGTTGATCAGTTTAACCTCATACCGTTTTGTATCTGTACATATGGAATCTTTGTAGAAGTAAATATTTTGTCTACATCAAATGATCCATGTAATACTACTTGTGTGCTAAACTTTATGGTAAAAACTGTATTTTAAAAATCACAAAATTAACGTCAATATTAAGCTTGCAAATGTGCACTGTGACAAACTGCTAATTTAAACAAAGTTTAAAAATTACATTTTTTACAAGCAAAGCATTTACCCTTGAAGCAAGAAAACAAATAAAGATTGATAGTAAACTGATTATTTATAACTGATTATTTATTATATTTTTTTTAAAGGATTTACGTGTCATGCATAGAGAAAAAAAGTTGAAAGCTTAAACATACCTTCAAGAAGCTGCATGGTAACAATCAAACAGAAAAAAGGTATATATATAAAACACAATGGTCAACGCAATGACATGGGGAGGTAAGTTTGCAGATTTTAAGAAAGGGGCAGGAAATAAGCAAAAAATATCAAGACAATTATATCCCACTACAAGACTATGACCTGTCACACTACAAAACAATGATGACCTGTCTCACAGGACTATGACCTGTCCCACTACAAAATTATGAATTGTCTACTACAAGACAATGACCGGCCCCACTAAAAGACTATAATATATCCGACAACAAGACTATGACCTGTCCCACTACAAAACTAAGACCTGTCCCATTACAAGACCATGATATGTCCCACTACAAAACTATAACCTGTCCTACTACAGGACTATGACCTGTCCCACTACAAGACTATGACATGCCCCACTCCAAGATTATGACCTTTCCCACTACAAGACTATTAACTGTCCTACTACAAGACTATGACCTGACAGCTACAAGACTATAACCTGTCCCACCATAATACTATGACCTGTCCAGCCACAAGACTATGACCTGTCCCACTACAAGACTATGACCTGTCAGAAATGGCCGCATAAAATATTTTATAATTAAAGAAAGTCAAGAATTTAAATGGGACAGCACTGCATATTCTGAAATGTAGCCTTATTTCATAAGTTTATGATCCCTTAGTGACATAAGTTTATGATCCCTTATGACATAAGTTTATAATCCCTTAGTGACATAAGTTTATGATCCCTTATGACATAAGTTTATGATCCCTTAGTGACATAAGTTTATGATCTCTTAGTGACATAAGTGTATGATCCCTTAGTGACATAAGTGTATGATCCTTAGTGACATAAGTTTATGATCTCTTAGTGTTTCTTTCAGACGGATGACATGAATTCTGGTAGCTTAAATAGCCTCACAATTTTCTTTTTTCTAACAAAACTTTAAAAACACAATATGAAAATAGACTTTTGTGTAAGAACATGGGACCTACTATAAATTGTAAGTAGAACTTTGTTAATTTATTTTTTTTACATTTAAAGTGTCTGACACTCATTGGGTGTATGATGTTGATAAGTGTTCTTTCTGTTTTTTAAATAAGCTGAAGAACACATGGCAACATGCAATTGTATCAAACATAAGTCTCATGATTTCAATTTCATTCCACAAATAGAAACAAAAACTGTAAACATATTTATAAACTTTGAGACCCTATGTAACACTGCTATGTAGCACTGAGAATCACAGCAACAATCAAATAAGTCTCTCTTTCATGGAGCGGGGGGGGGGGGGGGAANGGTATAATCAAAATCTAATTTGATATTTGTAAAATGAGCTGGGGTATAATCAAAATCTAATTTGATATTTGTAAAATGAGCTGGGGTATAATCAAAATCTAATTTGATATTTGTAAAATGAGCTGGGGTATAATCAAAATCTAATTTGATATTTGTAAAATGAGCTGGGGTATAATCAAAATCTAATTTGATATTTGTAAAATGAGCTGGGGTATAATCAAAATCTAATTTGATATTTGTAAAATGAGCTGGGGTATAATCAAAATCTAATTTGATATTTGTAAAATGAGCTGGGGTATAATCAAAATCTAATTTGATATTTGTAAAATGAGCTGGGGTATAATCAAAATCTAATTTGATATTTGTAAAATGAGCTGGGGTATAATCAAAATCTAATTTGATATTTGTAAAATGAGCTGGGGTATAATCAAAATCTAATTTGATATTTGTAAAATGAGCTGGGGTATAATCAAAATCTAATTTGATATTTGTAAAATGAGCTGGGGTATAATCAAAATCTATTTTGATATTTGTAAAATGAGCTGGGGTATAATCAAAATCTAATTTGATATTTGTAAAATGAGCTGGGGTATAATCAAATCTTTATTTTTCTAAACTAACAAAGAGAAAAGTAGCTAAAATAAAACAGTATAAAATGAGTAAAGGAAAGTGGGGTTAAACCTGAAAAAAGGAACCCAACAAAACAACGAATGTGTCAGCAGAATGTGCCATAATGGGACGAATGACGCCACATGGAATGAATGTCATGTCTCTTTTCACAGCTTGAACCGAGCTCCGCCCCTCCACATCCCAACCTATCGCAGTGGACTTTCTTATCCTCTTTTCTTTCGCTCTTCCCTATTTTATCTCTCACTCACTTAATTTTTGTCACATTTCTTTTACTGCCCATGGATTCTACTTCTAAGCTAAGTGCTATATTTAATATTTTTTATTTTTATTCTTATACCGTTTTTTTTTTTTTTTTTTTTTTTTTTTTTTTTTTTTTTAATGGCCCCCTATTATTTTTTTTTTTTGTTTTTTTTTTTTTTTTTTTTTTTTTTTTTTTCTCCTTTTTTTTTTTTTTTTTTTTTTTTATTCTTCTATATCTTAAGGGCCCACGATCAATTTATTTTTCTGTTGTTTTGTTCGCTGACGAAGGCTTTCTGCCGACACGTTCGCTGTTTTGTTGCGTTTATTTTTTCAGGTTTAACCCTACTTTGTTTTACTCATGTTATATTGTGCCAACCTGATTACAATCTCTCCCCTTATTACCCCCTTAAAATAAAAAAGCAAGTTGTTGGTGGCTTGAAAGTTTCCTGTCTTCTTCTTCTCATCAGCCAACAATTTACATTTACTTTAGTCAACAAATAACAATTGTGAAATTGGTCAGATTTCAAGAGAGATTACCTTTGTCCTTGGTGACTGTGAGATTTCAAGAGAGATTACCTTTGTCCTTGGTGACTGTGTCCTGCTTCTCCTCCTCTGCTGTTAGGTCAGCTCTGAAAAAGATCCTGGCACTGCTGAGTGAGTAGAACAGTAGCTCATATTCCTAGAAAGCACAGATCAGATGGTATGTGAGGAGTAATCATTAAACAAATCAGATGGTATGTGGGGCATGATCATTAAACAGATCAGGTGGTACGTGGGGAGTAATCAGTGAAACAAAGTGTCTATACCGAAGATACAGAATTATTTGTTTTACCTTATTTAAAATTATTATTGAATAATCAATGAGGTATGCAAAGCAAATTATTATTATTATCCAGAATTTTAATGGACATCAATACAGAAATACTGGTACTATTTGGACTATTTTGAACTTAAGATTTGACCTATTGAGTTTGTGTGTAACCATTCTTGTAGAACAAACTTCCAGATCTCGACCCATTTTCCTATATGCACTTTAAACAACTGCCCCTTATGCTTGTTAAGGTGTCTACGAGCCTAATGGTTAAAATTGACTGTTATTCTTGTGAAAACTTTGCTCTTCTTTCTGAAGAATGTGTTAACCTTCTTTCTTTAAGTTACAAGTATTGGAAGTTCATTAGAAATTTTTTTAATCTAATTTTTATCTTGATTATTAAATTTCAATCATATTTATGCTAAATATAAAAAATAAACATTTCAATTTTTGTATTTTGTATTTTTTTTAATATGCTTGTTTTCTAAAGAAATTACCCCCTATGCTTAAGCAGAAGTAAAGGTGTACAAAAAAAGTAGGTTAACTGGTTAACTACCATGAGACGCTGGGAGCGGCTCAGCGTTTCTTCCGTTATGGCCATGAGCCGCTGGTAACGCCAAGGTTTGTATCGTAGTAAATCAAGTCCAATATTTATATTATTCCATTCCCGTTTTGCTTGAAGATTTTAATTAACCGATAGGATGTTTATATTCAAGCCACATTCTATCGGCAGAATGTTTTAAGAAAACTAGCTATTAAATAATTTTGATTTAATTTCCAAGCTAGTTCCAAAATGTTACTACTTGTTTACAGTGGCAACAAGTGGCAGGGTTACTAAAGGCATATAAGTGATTGGAAGTGTAAATATTATTCAATTTCTGTGTTCTTTGGTGCATTTTTCTTATTATTGGATATACTATTTGGGAACCACAAAATAAAAGGCTTTAAATGATTTAGAAATTTAAAATTTATACGTAAATTGGCAATTTATATATTTTTTAATAGTTTTTCTGTTGTAAATACTAATTTAACAATTAATAATTTCCTAAAAAACTTAACTTTACCAATGTTTTAAGTTTATCTTATAGACAATTATATTACCTAGAAACTTATTAGAATATGTTTATAATCAAGAAAACTGCAGCTGAATTTGTGCATACACCTAAAATGAGAAAATGTGACCTAGATTTAATTTGGCCACAGCGGTTTTTCAATCAGGTAGATAATCAGTTAAGCAGGAGTGTGTTTAACACAATAATTTAATTTATACTCTAAATCAGTTCAACACTATTCATAAAATTAATGAAAAAAACTGATTTACTTGTAAATATTGCTCTAGCCTTTTCACCGTCAGTGAAGTTGTTTGTTGGAGTTTTTCATCTGATCTGTTGCCAGTTTGTTTCAACACTTGCTCCTTGAACACAAACATCATTCAATTATTGGCTTAATAAGTACTATCTCCAGCATGTTTGCTCTTTATTTTAACACACGAGAAAACAGTCAAACAAGACCAAAAATTCCAAACATTTTGTAAACATTTATCCACACAATGTATTTTTTTTTAACTTAACGCAACAAACAAACTTTTATCTATTAATATTATAAATGACCAATGTTTCTGACAACTAAACAAATAAATCTAATATCAATGTCCACTTTTCTCTAAGTTTTTATTCTTCTTTTAGTTTCATGAATATCTTGAGACTAACTCACAAAAACAAAATTGTCAGATTTGAGAAATAGATCAAAAGGTGGGCCAATAACAGACTCACCTTGTCTTTTTTAAACTTGTCTCTGACTGACTGGAACCAGTGGAGTGAATCAAACTCATAATACTGGTCCAGCAACTTCAGGATGTAAGCAACTCCTACAAGTAATAGCAAGTGAATATGTGTATATTTGTATATACATCACAGATAATGTAATAAACATGCAAGAGTGGTGATGCATAACTAAGGACCACTAACTCATGTAAGCATATTGGGTTGGAGTTATTTTCCATAATTACAAAAATCTGTAACAAAAATTGTTTTGGGCCTCTGGTAGGGAGCATAATTAAACTAAAATATGAGTTTTAACAAACCCTATAACTAATAGATCTTAAATTAGTCTCTGATTTCTAATCTTGACCCAGGTTTGACTAACCCATGGCAAAACCATCATCAGTGAAGGCAGCACCAACTTTGTTTTTCCTGTTCATCTTCTCCTTACAGCTGATGGAATGTTCAACAAAGTTGATGGTCTGTGGAAATATATTGTTAGATTATTAAGTTACCATCTACATTGTTAAAGCATTATCCTCAAACATGTTCATCTTCAGTAATGTAACTTATCTGATCATTAAACTAGTTATGGATATACAAAGGTCATTAAAATAATTTTTGTTCAATGAAACCTTTGAGTCTGTAATAGCTTTCAGGCCCTTACACCTCAGTCTCTTTACAGCCTGACCCTGCTGTAAACTGTAGTAAATAACATACCATTTTCAACTTAGCCTAATGAAGGTAACTCTTCTTAATAAGGAGTTAAAAAGAGCCAATTTATTAACATGAAGTGTCAACCTTTTCTTTGGTGGAGTTTGGTGGCTGTGACCTTGATTTTGAGCTACTTTTGATGTTTTTTAAAAATATTACTTTGTTTGACAGTAGCTGTAAGCTTAGTGGCGTATGCCCTCCTAGATCGTTTCTAACTGCGAGTAAGTCGGCTTTTAGTATCAACGGTTTCCAATATGATGCAGACATAGATGCAGAAGTCGATAATGAAGTGATTTTGATATTGAATTAGTTTAACATTTTCATGTCACATATGGGTCAGAAGATGAAGACAATGTTGACAGATCTGAATCAACTGATTGGTCTAACCAGTTGTGTTCCATTTATATTGAAGAATTTTTCAGTGTAACCGGTCCTAATGTTGACCTTTTTTTAATTAAAATTTCATCATTTCTCTAAAATTATCAGCAATTTCTTTTTATGACTGGATGAAAGATTGATTTTTACTAAATTATTTTTTAAGTCAGTAACTTATAGAGTTATTTCCCTTTGCCTGGCACTAGAGGTAATTTCTTAATGGACGCTACGATACTGCAAGGGTCAAGCAAAGGATTCAACCAATGACAACAATGGCCGACTAACTTACCAGTGGTGGCAGGATGACAAAAAAGTTTCTCAGGTGCATGTTTTTAGGGTTACGAAACTCAGGAGCAAACACATCCACCAACATCTGGGCAACGAAACAATTTGTTGCATTATCTACATTTCATCATTATTATTAACATATCATTCTTATTAACATATCATTATTATTAGATACTTATGCCCTAAACTAAACTTATTTCAAAATAAGTATGAACACATATGAACAGCTTATGAACAACTTCATTGATACATTGAACGGACGAACATTTCTAGAAAACAATTTTAGTGAATCAGTGACTTCATATAGGACTGTATTGATTTAGTCAGATAAAGGACTGTATTGATTTAGTCAGATAAAGGTCTGTATTGATTAAGTCAGATGAAGGACTGTATTGATTAATGTATTGATTAAGTCAGCTAAAGGACTGTATTGATTAAGTCAGATGATGGACTATATGCTTATTTCTTTGTTCCATGCAGCTCCTCAATCCTGAAATTTCATTTTAACTTATTATCTGCCAAAATTCAAAAGGAAATGAATTGAAAAAAAATTAAATAGAAGATACTTGCCTTGAAATATTCAGTGCCTTCAGCAAAGTTCTTTGCCAAATTGTTGATTACATTGTCCAAATTTCTGAGGATGACAGAATTGTTTTTAATGCAGGTCTTCAAGGGCATCAATACAGCTTTACTACCGCACCTGTCAGCCATTACAAACTTACTTTGCAGCCGCCTGAGTTTCAGGTGAAAGTCCTTCCTCCTTGCAGGTGTCTTCAAAAACCACAATGTCCTCCAGGTCTGGAATGAAGCGAATGGCATTGCTGCAGCAGTGGAGACCACCTGATCGAATCATTCGGATGTAGCCCATTGCATTACCTTGACACACATGAAAGAATAAACCAATTATCAAAATAGAGGACTATAAAACCAACTGTGGGTAATAAAATTCTCATACTAATATGTAGAACTTTTCCTAGCACAAAGACTTTTATTGATATAAATACAGACTATCAATAAAATACAGACTATCAATGCAGAATACAGACATCAATAAAATACAGACTATCAATAAAATACAGACCATCAATACAGACTATCAATACAATACACACTATCAATACAGACTATTATTACAGACTTATTTAAAGACTTTATGCTTTACCAATTTGTGTGACCAGGGTCCTAAACTGATCCAAGTAACTGTCCCCGTCTGGTGTAAGCCCCAGTTTTCTGATTCCTTTGTTAAATTTATCTCCTCTGTCAAAGGGATACTGTAACAAAAAAGAATCACATAACATTAAGTTGCCTGTTAGTGCCACATAGCATTAAGTTGCCTGTAAGGGCCACATAACATTAAGTTGCCTGTAAGTGCCACATAACATTAAGTTGCCTGTAAGAGCCACATAATATTAAGTTGCCTGTAAGTGCCACATAACATTTAGTTGCCTGTTAGTGCCACATAACATTAAGTTGCCTGTAAATGCAAGTTGGTCACAAACTTAAAAGTAATAATACATTAATTATAAAATATAAATACCAGCATTTAACAAAAATTCATTAAATTCATAAACATTTTAACAAATTTGACATGAACTCAAATGAGTCAAAATAAAATAATTTCACATAAGGATTGTGTCAAGGAGTTCACTCTAAACTCACCTTCTGATCTGTCTCGAGGTGATTCTCCCTGAAAAACTTCCAGTCCTTGATGAGCCGAGACTTGATGTGCTCATCATACATGAACTGAGAGAAGATGTAAAATTTTTTCCTCAGGAACTGGAATGTAAAGTTCACCTGAAACAAATCAATAAAAATGTGTCTTAGTTAACAAATTCTATAGACCAGGGGTCAGCAATCAACAGCCTGTAGGTCAGAAAAGCTAGTTAAAGTTAAATTATTATATTGCTTTTTTTAAATTTACAAATTCATAATCAACAAAATAGTAAGAATTTAAAATCTGTGGAGAAAAAAGTATTTAAGCACTTGTCGACCTCTTAGCATAAAGAAGATTCAGCTTCTTGTTTAAATATTTAATGAAAAATTATTGGAATTTTTGTCCCAGCTAAATCAATAAGTGCTTAACTTAATGTCCATGCTGTGAAAATTTGCTCAATAAGCAATGGGCATATTCCCACGCGTGGTTGTGCAAGTAACAGGCACATTCCCACGTGTGGTTGTGCAAGGAATGCTTTTTGATTTGAGACAGCAGTTAGAGGACATACTGATCTCAAGGCTAGTGGGAAAAATATAATCTACCAAAAAACCTGTATTGAGCTTCCATCTTAACTTCAAACAGAAGATATTCTGCAATCCAAATATATGTTGACAGACAGATACAAAGAATAAAAACTGATAGACTTCTATAAGTGGCCCAGAGTTGACCAGGTCATAAATAGCCTGCAGAAAAAAGTGGTACTGTGCCAGCTTTGTAACATGCAAAATGATTAATTTTAACAAAATGAGCTGTTCTTGCTGTCTATAACCAGATAAAGAAAACACAACTGACTTCCACTAACTTGTGGAGAAAAAAATAAGTGGCTTTCATTAGATCTGAGAGAGAAAACATTCAGATCCATAGACCTATACAGATTTTTATCAAAGATCTACTTTGATAACATCCTCTATAAATGGGACCTACTGTTGTATTCATGATACCAATGCCATGAGTCCTGATAGAGTTGGCGATGTGCCTGATGTTGATGGTGTTCAAGTGCTTGTTGTTGCTGGTCCTCTCAACAAAGATCTAAAACACATGAGTTGAAAACATGTAAAATATGCATAGATTACATCAGCTGTTTCCAAACTGAGGGCAACATTCTATTTGAAAGGGGGAGGGGAGGCAGTCTTCACAAGTTTAAACTTTATATCTTGATGCATGTGCCTAGATTTATTTTTGTTTTAATGAGGTCCAAAACAAAAAAAATTAAAATTTGTGTAAAATAAAGTTTGGGGCATTTTCATCAAATATCTTATATCAAAATGATTAGTCTATAGAATTTGATCTTTAAAAAGTAAAAGAGTTTAATTTAGCATCAAGATCAGTTTTTATTTGAGTATAACTCTAATGATGAGCTCACTTTACCTTTCTGAATTAAAGGAGATTTTCTATGCTCTGTATTTAATGGGGTAACCAATGTTTGATTTAACTGATTGCTGAGGTTGTCAGTTACCAATGTTTGATTTAACTGATTGCTGAGGTTGTCAGTTACCAATGTTTGATTTAACTGATTGCTGAGGTTGTCAGTTACCAATGTTTGATTTAACTGATTGCTGAGGTTGTCAGTTACCAATGTTTGATTTAACTGATTGCTGAGGTTGTCAGTTACCAATGTTTGATTTAACTGATTGCTGAGGTTGTCAGTTACCAATGTTTGATTTAACTGATTGCTGAGGTTGTCAGTTACCAATGTTTGATTTACCTGATTGGTGAGGTTGTCAGTTACCAATGTTTGATTTACCTGCTTGATGAGGTTGTCAGTTACCAATGTTTGATTTACCTGATTGCTGAGGTTGTCAGTTACCAATGTTTGATTTACCTGATTGTTTAGGTTGTCAGTTACCAATGTTTGATTTACCTGATTGGTGAGGTTGTCAGTTACCAATGTTTGATTTACCTGATTTCTGAGGTTGTCAGTTACCAATGTTTGATTTACCTGATTGGTGAGGTTGTCAGTTACCAATGTTTGATTTACCTGCTTGTTGAGGTTGTCAGTTACCAATGTTTGATTTACCTGATTGGTGAGGTTGTCAGTTACCAATGTTTGATTTACCTGATTGGTGAGGTTGTCAGTTACCAATGTTTGATTTACCTGATTGGTGAGGTTGTCAATTACCAATGTTTGATTTACCTGATTGTTGAGGTTGTAGAGAAATTTCGCCACAAAAACATGAATGTTTCTCATGATCTCCAAAACATCCAAACCCTGGGGTTAAAAGTGAATAAAGGAAATACTACAATTAAAACATATGTGAATCATTACACATGCTTGAATGCACTGTGTATTTAGACAATATGAAGCAAGCAAATATTTTCATAAGAATCTATCTTTACACTTCATGTCTGTGAATGATTTTTACGTGTTTTTGTACAAATAATTCATTCTGTTGGCTGAAATATTTTAAAAAGATCCACTCATATTATCTCTAAATTTTATGGAGGACATTAACCATTATTAACTACCACAGAATTTTTTAAAATTTACATTATGGTAAAAAAAAATTTTAAAAGGGCCAAAATATAAATAATTTAAATGTTTTCATTTCCTCCCATTGTTAATTTCTCCCATTTCAGAATTTGTTTAAAATACGAGCTCACTCACCTGTTCTAAGGTCTGACTGGGAAGGTGCGACTCCATCAGGGTCAGGCCATACTTTTGCTCTGCCATGTTCTTCATCTCTCCATAGGTCTTCCAATCATGTAAAGCAACCGTCGTTAGATTGTAGAAGGTTTTGTTTAGATAATGTTCCACATGACCTGGGAAAGTAATGTCAACAAAAAGGGAAAATGCTAACTATAAATAATAGAGGTTCAACTCTGAGCAATTCTTCGGTAACTGAAACATTCAATTATTTCAAACATTGATTCAGTGCACCACTAAAACATTCAGTAACTGAAACATTCAATTATTTCAAACATTGATTCAGTGCACCACTAAAACATTCAGTAACTTTAAGATCATTAACTGGGGCATTTAAGATCATTAACTGGGGCATTTAAGCAATTACAATTGGTGGAACCATTGAAATATTGCTATGCTCAATATATTTGATGTTTCATCTATTTAAGGCTAATCTTGTTAGATGCTTACACTATTCGATTATAAATATCTTACTGTTTCAAAAATTGGCCGTTCCTGATTATCAGCCAAAGTCTTACTTCCTATTGTTGGCATTCATCGTTATTTTTAAAAATTTATTTTTTGCATCATAACAAACTTAAAGACTTTAATAACAGTGTATTAAACTACCTTCTCATTAATATGAAGGTCAATAATTACTATTTCGACTATAATGCCAATTCCATTTTATGTTCTACTTTTAGAAAAAAATATTTTTTCCGAATCGTAAATTTAAGATTAAATTCTATGGATGAGTTAAAAAATGTGTTTAAGTATATCGAAAAGGCAATTTAAAATTTATCTGAAGAAAGCTTTAGTTGTTTGAAATTTTAAATAAACATTTTAATCAACTGAATATTGAGAAATGTATACTTTATTTTTGTACAATTACGGATACATTCATACATTAATAAATATATGATGTTTTTTTACTAAAACGTCTCATGTCTTTTAACATAATGCATTTCATAACGATTCATAAAAATAACTAGATTTGAAAATCATTAAAATTTATAGATCTAGACTTTTCTACAAAACACTATTTTTTCTTTTTGACTAATGTAAAACTTGGACATTTGAAAAATGTATGTATTATGTATATATATATATATATATATATTATATATATATATATATATATATATATATATATATTTATATATATATATTTCATTGCTTTCAACATTTTAAAAATGCTGGCAGTGTTTTTTGTGATGGGAATCTTTTTTGGAAGTAAAAATAAATCATTTTGTAATGAAGTAAAGTACCCAAAATTAGTTTTAATATTAGATAAAACCACAGTGTTATTTAGTTATTCAAAAAAAATATTTGTATTTACATAACTTGGTCAAGCAGAGCAGTCACTTGACTTTCCGAGACCCCCTACCACTTTTCAATTTTGTCCTTTCACCACTTTACATTCAAATTTGATAATTTAAAAAGTGTCCAAAGGACAACTTTAAGCCCCTAAAATATCGGAGGCCCCCTTGCAGCCACAAGGGTTGCTGGGCTCATACGATGGCTCTGATGTAAAATGAAACCTAAATTTTTAACTAGCATCTCTCCCATGTCTCTCAGATTAAGTGTAGAATGATGCAAAACCAATTTATATATCTGCTAAAATCCACTTTTGCATTTTAAATTTATAAAAAATTTTCTACGAACTTTAAAGATTGAAGGGGCAGCACTAAGCTAGTCTACCCTCCAGGGCATCAACTGGAATGAATCTAGGTCATGTTGGGCTGGGGCACAGTTAGTCATGTTCCTGATCTTTATTAAAACTAATTCTGGTGCTTCCCACCAGGATTTCTAAATGACCCCTTCCAAATTGTTTGAAAGAAACACCAACTTCGAATGTGCACCAAAATACACCACGGCATTTTGAATTAATCAAAATTTTTCTGTGGTGACCCCTGTCCCCAATTTTGCTTGAGAGTTTTCAGCACACAAAATTTCTGCTCCCTCGTTCCTTCAAAGCAAATCAAAATGACAGCACGAGAGTGAATCTAGGCTTGTGCCAGTTGATTACCATGGGGCGTGACACAACCGGAGTAAATCCAGTTGATGTATAGTATTGGACGCAATAGTGCCTCACCTGTACCCTTGAAAAATTCAATTCCCCGATCAAATAGTCTAATAGAGACACTGATTTCAGGTATACTCCGAAATTCACCTCTTTGATTTTGAAATATTCAAAACCATACCCCCTCCCCCCTTTTCTGCTCAAGAGCCATCGGTGCCCTCATTTTTGCCCCAATCCCTGATAAATACTATTGCCACTTTTGGTGCCGATAGATACTCTATCTAGTGGTGTAGCTAGTATTAGGGCCAAGATTTTTGTCGCTCTCTCTTTCATTATAAAAACTCTGGAGATGTTCGAGAATGAATTTCCTCCATGTAAAGACAAAATGACACCTAGCTGGACAAAATGATCCGCACCCCTTTCTATGCCACTGGCAGAGGTGTAGCTAGAGTGTTTGGCGCAAGGGGACAAGATTCATTCTCACCACACCCCCCCGCCCCCTTCCCCCAACCGCTTCATTTCTGAAACCCATTATCTTCATCAACTAAATACTATCAAAACTCATTTTGTTGCCCCTGCTAGTCTAGTGCCCATGGAATTCTGTCCTCTCTGCCTCCCCCTAGCTACACCTCAGGCCACTGGCATTGCCCCCCCCACCCAAAAATCTGAACTGCCCCACCGGAGGAACATGTCTGAAAGAAACACTGATTTCTAGTGCTTGAGAGTGTGTTAAACACTTTCTCTTTTTTTTCACATAATTATTGGCACTTAAAGTTGACCATGATTTAAGAATGTTGAACATACTTTTCATGTCAATGGTACGGTCAAAGAACCTGATGGGCTTGACTTTGAGCAGATGTGAAAGATCACGCAGGCCGACCTTGAATGGATTGCGATCATCAAGCTGCAGATGGAGGTGAATGTGAAGACGGAGATCTGTCTCGATGGACCGACACAGGGGTTCTAGCAAGTGCTGAAAATGTCAGTAGGCAACAAGTTATACAACAATGATAACCAGTAGGAAATAAGTTATACAACAATGATAACCAGTAGGCAATAATAAGTTATACAACACTGATGAACCAGTAGGCAATGACAATTTATACAACAATGATGAACCAGTAGGCAATAACAAGTTATACAATAATGATGAACCAGTAGGAAATGACACGTTATACAACAATGATTAAACAGTAGGCAATAAGAAGTTATAAAACAATGATGAACAAGTAACATGAATTTTTTCCTTGAGTTGAAAATAAAAAAAGAGTTCTGATTGTAAACAATGGTTTCAGTATCTCACCTACAACACTAATCCACATTTGTTACATTCCTATATCTCACCTACAACACTAATCCACATTTATTACATTCCAATATCTCACCTACAACACTAATCCACATTTATTACATTCCAATATCTCACCCACAACACTAATCCATATTTATTATATTCACATATCTCACCTACAACACTAATCCACATTTATTATATTTCTAAAAGAAAATATGGTACTGGACCACATGTACTTTAGTTACACTGAAAATAAATTATGTTACGTAATGTGTCACATCTTGTTTTATGATCCAGGGTGTCCTCTGGTCTGAAATCAAGATCAATCATTGCATTGTGTCTCATGTTCCCTCACTGACATAAATGTGTTGTACTGCTGGGTGACAAGGGAATGTACTCACCTCTGTAACATTCTTGGTGATCTCCCTGTCAAAAGCTTCCTTTAATTTCAGGCTGGTCTCCAAGTGTTTGACAACCCCCATCTGAGGGACACAGTCACGCAAGGCAGCAAACATGTACTGGAGGGATGAGAAGTTCCACATGAAACCAGACAAGTTGGACCAATGTCATATCAAAAACATGGGGGGTGGGGGTATTTTTTCCTGACCCATCTTGGTATGTCTGTTCAGGACAGTGGAAATAGTTGATTTAAAGAGAACATTTACATATTCTGACATCTGATAGTTATTAAGGAGTAGCTTGTTAAGCACAACAATATTAATAGGAAGCCATACGTTCAGTAAAATAAAAGTTTATTATCTAATAGGGTATCTGATATTTGTTCTTATAAGCTGTTAGGATCTTTTCCACTTATACTAGGTATTATACATAACGACCATATGTGTCATTGTGTTGTGCTTACATGCACTCGGTGAGTGTCTGTCACAGTTTCACATAGGTCATCCAGATACAAGGGAAAGATAACTCTGTGCCAGTAGATGAAGCTGCAGTCACAAGCCTCTCTTACTCTGAAAGGAGATTAAAATAACATTCATTTCAAATCCATGAATAGACTACACATTGGTCAGTTCTCCTCAAATCAAATTCTTACTCCAGGAAACAAATAACTCAAACGCATTCCTAGACTTACTTCACTCTGAGCTCACTGATAATGTCCAGTCGTTTCAAGGTGTCGTCCAGGCTCTGAAGTTCATCTTCTTTGAAAGCTCTCTGATGACAGGATTGGATATTTAAAAAATTCATTATAAGACAATAAAGAAGTCTGATGACAAGTAAAGAAGTTTAATGACAAGTAAAAAAGTCTGATGACAAGTAAAGAAGTCTGATGACAAGTAAAGAAGTTTAATGACAAGTAAAGAAGTCTGATGACAAGTAAAGAAGTCTAATGACAAGTAAAGAAGTTTAATGACAAGTAAAGAAGTTTAATGACAAGTAAAGAAGTCTGATGACAAGTAAAGAAGTCTAATGACAAGTAAAGAAGTTTAATGACAAGTAAAGAAGTCTGGTGACAAGTAAAGAAGTTTAATGACAAGTAAAGAAGTCTAATGACAAGTAAAGAAGTCTGATGACAAGTAAAGAAGTGTAATGACAAGTAAAGAAGTCTAATGACAAGTAAAGAAGTTTAATGACAAGTAAAGAAGTTTAATGACAAGTAAAGAAATTTAATGACAAGTAAAGAAGTTTAATGACAAGTAAAGAAGCTTAATGACAAGTAAAGAAGTTTAATGACAAGTAAAGAAGTTTAATGACAAATAAAGAAGTCTAATGACAAGTAAAGAAATCTGATGATAAGTAAAGAAGTCTGATGACAAGTAAAGAAGTCTGATGACAAATAAAGAGGTCTGATGACAAGTAAAGAAGTCTGATGACAAGTAAAGAGGTCTGATGACAAGTAAAGAGGTCTGATGACAAGTAAAGAAGTCTGATGACAAGTGAGGAAGTCTGATGACAAGTAAAGAGGTCTGATGACAAATAAAGAGGTCTGATGACAAGTCAAGAAGTCTGACAAGTCAAGAAGTCTGATGACAAACAAATAAGTGTGATGATAAGTAAAGAAGTCTGATGACAAATAAAGAAGTCTGATGACAAGTAAAGAAGACTGATGACAAGTAAAGAAGTCTGATGACAAGTAAAGAAGTCTGATGACAAGTCAAGAAGTCTGATGACAAGTAAAGAAGTCTGATGACAAGTAAAGAAGTCTGATGACAAGTCAAGAAGTCTGATGACAAGTAAAGAAGTCTGATGACAAGTAAAGAAGTCTGATTACACTAACTTAACATCTAAGTACCAAACATAAACATTTTTTTTTTTCCTTTTTGCTTACTATGCAAAGAAAACCAAAGCTGTAAAGGTGATAACATCCCATGAATGTAGTAGAGTATCAGGGAGTGTGGTGAACCTACATCCCATCAATGATTTAGAGTATCAGGGAGTGTGATGAATGTACTGTTCCTTTTGTTGTGAATGTATTGTTCCTTTTGTGGTGAATGTACTGTTCCTTTTGGTGTGAATGTACTGTTCCTTTTATTGTGAATGATGTGCAATGTGAATCATCAGTTTGGATTTACAAGTTGGATGAAAGCGCCGAGTTATTTATAAAAAAGTATTCGTTTTATAGAGATAACCAGAGAAAACTTTAAGAAAACATAACAGATATGCACATGTTTTCATCTTAAAGTTTGTTATCAAGCACAGCTTCCTTCAAGTGATATTTGTGATATGAGAGTAATGAGCTGTATTCAAGCACAGCTTCCTTCAAGTGATATTTGTGATATGAGAGTAATGAGCTGTATTCAAGCACAGCTTCCTTCAAGTGATATTTGTGATATGAGAGTAATGAGCTGTATTCAAGCACAGCTTCCTTCAAGTGATATTTGTGATATGAGAGTAATGAGCTGTATTCAAGCACAGCTTCCTTCAAGTGATATTTGTGATATGAGAGTAATGAGCTGTATTCAAGCACAGCTTCCTTCAAGTGATATTTGTGATATGAGAGTAATGAGCTGTATTCAAGCACAGCTTCCTTCAAGTGATATTTGTGATATGAGAGTAATGAGCTGTATTCAAGCACAGCTTCCTTCAAGTGATATTTGTGAAATGAGAGTAATGAGCTGTATTCAACCACAGCTTCCTAAAAGTGATCATATTTGTGATATGAGAGTTATGAGCTGTATTCAAGCACAGCTTCCTTCAAGTGATATTTGTGAAATGAGAGCAATGAGCTGTATTCAAGCACAGCTTTGTTAAAGTGATGATATTTGTGATGTGATGTCAATGGGCTGTATTCAAGGACAGCTTCTTTCAAGTGATTATATTTGAGATGTGATGGTAATGAGCTGTGTTAGCCTCAAAAGGACTACTGTGTTAGCCTCAAGAGGACTACTGTGTTAGCCTCAAGAGGACTACTGTGTTAGCCTCAAGAGGACAACTGTGTTAGACTACTGTGTTAGCCTCAAGAGGACTACTGTGTTAGCCTCAAGAGGACTACTGTGTTAGCCTCAAGAGGACTACTGTGTTAGCCTCAAGAGGACTATGTTTTGTTATTGTCTTCCAATGCCAGTGACATGAATCCATCAGAAACACTTAACAACATTAAATATTAACAAACACAACAGCAGATCTCAACACACACAAAACAAACAGATCTCAACATAAACACACAAGAAACAGATTTTTCAATACACACACATACAAAAAACAGACCTTAACAACCCCAACTTATATATATTCATATTTGCATTACAGTTAGCTCAAATTTGTTAATTAGTTTAGTTGTAAAATCAACACGTTTATTATTAAAATTGTGTCAGATTGTTCATGATAATGAAAAATGGCCATATATTTTTTTTATGTTTTTTTTTCCAACCTATGTATCTCATCTACAAAAGCAAGAAGGTGCCAGACTGAGCTAATCAAAGCTCTTTGTTCCCATTGCTACCCTCTCCTTTACCCAAAGGGCATACTGTAAAGCAGCTCTATTAGAAAAACCCATATTTTACTGTAAGTAAAAGCACATCAAAAATCAAATTGTTTACAAACCATTTTTGTTCCCACAGCCATGGCTAACTTAACAATGAGACGCCTCTCTTTGGTTCCTGACAGACAGAAATTGAAAAGCATTTTAACTGTAACAATTTAAATACTTAACATCACACAGGATTGAGCCCTGGATAATGGAAAAAAACAATATTAAAAATTTAAACTTGGAACCTAACACACAATCAAAGTGTTATGGTGGACTAGCGGAATGGCCCGTACCGATAGCCAGCCAAGGAAACAGTGCGCATGCGCAGAGAGACTGGAGGGAGTGTGTGTGTTTATGATCCGTATTCCAGACGCAAGCAGAAAGTCAACACCTGATTGAGAACTTGTATTTACGTATATATATATATACGTTTATGTTACTTGTTTGCAATAAAAACATTGAAAACCTAGCACAAAGCAATCTCCAAACAATATGGTGCTTTTAAAAAAAATTAAACAATTATTTGTAGGCATGACATTTTTGTAAATAAAATCAACAATCATATTTACTTTAAATTGTAGTACCTATAACAACCAAATACAACCTCGCAAAGATAATAGCTTAACCAAAGGTAACACTGACCTGGGCCATTGAGGGCAGACTCGGCCAGGACAAGAGCAGATAACACATCCAACCTCCTCTCACTGTAACGTTTGTCTGACATGATACGTTTCTAGACAACAAGAAAAGCAATAACAACATTCCCCACTTATCTGAATGTCATTTTAAAACAATTACTTATATGTCTAAAATAGGCATTTTCCTGGAGAATGCACTAAACGAGAGAATACCAATAAAACTATCATAATGTGCTATATCAGCCATCCACTTCACAATTAATAATCTATGTAACACTATAGCTTAGTTTCGGATAATGAGTTGTAAGAAGAAAATTATCCTAAATCTTTTCAAACGATACAGAGAATAAACAAGGGAGAACAAGAAAATCATGTTAATTACCTTGGCTGTACCAATGGCGTTCAACGCCTTAAAGCTGAGATGTTGTATGATATGGTTGATTGATTCAGACACCAGCATTGTCCGTCGGTGGAATGTGAACTCAATGGCCTTGAACAAAGACCCAAAAAAATGAAATAAATTACTTAAAATTTAAGAATATTTTGAATTGGTTCAATTAACCACATAGTAATTCAGGTTTTGTTTTTATTGCTAAAAAATATTTTCCAACACAATCTTATGCTCCAATTGAAAGAACTCACTTTAAGTAACTCCACTAGTCGACACAAGGAGAGCACAGCAGCTTTGCTCATTGGTTTGCTAAGAGAAACTTGAAGGTTCATCACTGTCCTGACCAGGTGACTGATGTTATAGGCGTGGAGCAGTCCCTGAAAGTCACATTTTCAACTCTATTACTTTCTTATTTTCCTATTCTGTCTCCCTAATGTAATTGGAATATTGTGTAATACTGTACAAGCAGACCGAATCCTGAAAGACTAATAATTCTTATAATTAAATAAATTTCTTGGCAATGTTTATAGGTCAATTGAGGTTTCATTTGTAGGTCAGCTTATGTAATGATTAATATAGGCCATGTTTATATTTTGGTGTATCTTTTTTTGGTTAAACACAATTCAAACAAATTATTTCCTATTTCTCATTTTAAAAATATTACAATGAAAAGTTAATATTAAAATTGTGAAGAAGCAGTGCATTTTGTTGTTTTGTATCCATGTTTGACTTTCATAACAGGATCCCAAAGATTAATGTGTCTTAAAAGTAAGTTGCTTTTCCATCAAATGTCACTAGTTAAGTTATATTTATATCTTGATCAATTTAAACATTTAAACAAAACCTCAAAGAGGTATGACAAACACTAACGAAACCATTCAAAGATTCTCCTCAACAATACCTGAATGAAAAGCACACATCGGTTGTTTAAATCTTCCATTAGAGTGCTGCCCCTTTCAAGTGAAGATTCCATACGAACCATCCAAGCTGCCACAGCTGTACTGTACATTTGTATGTCCCTGAGTGACAGAGAGAACATTTTTAATAAAAATAATTTCATTTCATTAATGTATAAATAAAATTCATAATTTTGTATTTGGCCTTAAGGCTAAAAAAACTATTCAAAAAAAAATGTCAAGTTAAAAATTTTTAGTTCAAAATCTACAAAATTATCAAATAAAAGTTTCATAATTCGATTTTTCACAACACTTAAAAGTTATTTTAAGATGCAGCAAAAGAATGAATTTCACATACAACATAAAATCTGAATGAGAAAGGTTGAATTCCATAGTTAAATTGAAGTGATGAAAATCAATTTAGTGACATGAATATTTCACTTTTAGACCAGATGAGAAAAACAATTTTTTTTTTTAAAGAACATATTAATGGTGTCCAATTTATTTATAACTTTTGATAATTTAAAAACTATATCTCCAAAAAAATGTCTTTAATGAACTGAGAAAATAAAAATACAATGTCAAAAAATAAAATTAAAATGAAAGCTACTGATACACAAGTTAGTCAGGCATTAAAGAAGAAACATTGAACAAACTACATGCAGTCCCTAGGTTATGAAAATTTGACTTAAGAACAATCCAAGTTACAAACCAACTGGTATGATTTTAAAATGTTTTAGTCTAAAAAAAATACTTCAAGGGGGGGGGGGGGGGTAAGAGATAAGGTTGACCAATTTCACTTTTCAAAGAATGTATTTTCTTTGATGTTTTATTCTTATACTGGAATAATATATACTACGTCAAGTCCTAAGTGCCAATTATTTTAGTCGTTAATTATCCATAGTCTAAGTCTTAACACTCATATTTGGAATCATAGACTTCCTGAGAAACAAGAATGGACTTTTTTTAAACCAGGGACTGCCTGTATATCCCATTATTTAAAGCTTTAATTGACTGTTGTCACAATTACACCCAAAAAAAAGTTACAAGTAGCAATATTTGTGTGCTAAGATTAAGAGATTAATGAAATAAAAAAGTGCATTCCTAAATTAATTATCTTTTAATCAAGATGTGAAATATACTATTTCTTTTAGGAACCATCTATGTCACATTAAAAAATTACAAATTTCTTCCATATCCCCAAATGTTGGATCCATTTCATTTTCAGACACCCTCCTTTTTTCTTACTTTTTTTCCCCTCCAACAGTTGAAAACAAAAAATTTGCTTTGACGATACTGCAGATTTCCGTTGCAGTTTTAACAACCAACCAAACCATCAAAAAGTGACTGATACAAGTAACTCATAAAATGAAGGGTTTCAAACTCGACTACTTGATGGGGAAAATGAGGATTATAAGATGGCAAATGTCCCACTACACAATAAAACTATGTCATGGTTAAGCTATGTCTCTTATGACAATATGAAGCACAAATCACTTTGCAATGGAAGGTCACTTATTCCTTGTCAATTATATTTTGGTCAGTAGGTCAGCACTGGTATTTGTTGCGCACCGAATATTGTGTTTTATTGTGCTGAGTGTGTGTGTAAGTTTAGTTAATAATGCTTTTGGGGCCATTAGGCATATGATTTTATTTTAGATGTGATTTAGAGATTATGTCTGTCTTTTGTTTACTGCTATTCACTTGGCAGTTTGTTTGAGAGCATATGGGAGAAGGTTGTACATTATTCTCCTTCTTGAAGCAACTTGTGCTGTACATGTGTTTGGTTCATTGTACACCCTGATTTTTATGCTCTAGATTAAAGTTTACATTGCTAATGAAAAAGGGACTACCATGCAGTTGGGTGTGATTATAATGAATGCATGTGTAAAAGAATTTGATGCAGGAAACCAATCATTATGGATAACGACAATTGTTACATTTGTAAAATAAAACCATTATCATTGTTAAAGATTTTTGCTTTTGATAATAATATACAATGACCTAAAGTGCTGAAGAAACCAATAAAATTTGGGAGCTACATTGAAAAATGTTGAGAAACACTGATTATAATACTGAGTGAAAGTAGTTTTTATTTATAGCCCTAAAATTTACAGTATTTAAGGTGGTTATAAAGTATAACGAAGAGGTTAAAGTTGCTAATAAGAAATAGGTATTATTAACATATTAATAGATCCTAAATCAATCTATAGTAGGATTTTTAAAATTTTAACCGTATATTTATATAGCTAATATAACTAATACATACAAGATTGCTTTCATTTAAACTCATACAATTTATGTCATGGGGGTAGATGAAATTTCTTTTGTGTTAATTATATATTTAATATGAAGTTTAATTTTAACTATAAACTATAAAACTAGTTTTTGAAAAGAACAAGAGGGTCATTGAAGTTTAAAAAACCCACAGAACTTTTTTTAATAACTATTGAATAGCCACCCACTAATGATACATACAAATTGGTGCTTCTAAAAAGACCAAAAAAAAAGCCTTTACTTTGGGACTAAAATACAGTTCCAAACAAGATTTCAAAGAGATTCAATAAAGAAGCTAAAAATAATAAATATATAATAAATAATAAAGGTTAAGTACATTTAAGTTCTATCTACTTCGGTGAGAAATAAAGTAAAGTTTACAAAAAACAAGCAATGAATACAAAAGAAATTAATCCGAATTATCAGTCTAAAAATATTAATATTTCAAGGAACATTACCTCTGTCTAAAATTCCATGCAAGATTGTTTTGTGGGCATTAAAAAAATGTATGTATATAAAAACAAGAAGAAAATAATATTTTTGTCAACTTTGCCATCAACATAAGAACTGTACAAGGAAATCTGATATGAATAATTATGTTTAATATGATTCATAATGCCTTAATTCTTTCTATGAGGTATTTCAAAGAGTATGTTAGAAAAAGGCTCACAAAAATAAGAAAATTATATAAAAAAAATCCCTGCAATGGTAACATGGTACGTTACATTAGTTGTAATTCAAAGGAAACAAGTAAACTTTGTTTTACTTCACTTGATAATAACTTAATTATAAGTTATTATTAAACCAATATAAATTATCTTTTATTAAATCTAATAATTAATTGTTTTATTTCATTGATTTTTATTTAGAAATAGTGCCATCAATAGAAAGGAAAACCTAAGAAACCCTTTTAAAAATACAAATAATTGTAGTTAATTGAAATGATAGTTCTAAAATATGATTTTTATTGTACAACATTTGAGCATCTTTCTAACTTGACAAAATCCAAATGAATGCCTTTTTAATGAATAGATGCTATGTAACATTTGTGATCAACTTTCTAAATCTATTTAATATGCCCACCTTGCAAGCATCTGGTTCCGGGAAGTAAGCCAGTTTTGACTCTGTTGCGTTACAGCAAGCTGGGACTTGCGATCAAGAAGCTGCTGGGCATTGGGAAGGCGGATCAGAATGAACTCATTTGGGAAGAACACCACGTTACCAATCAGATGTACACAAGGGATCTGTTAAAAAAACAATGTTTGCATAGAGCAGGTAAAAACTATGGCTAAATATGGTAGGTGACATTAAAAAGTTCTTATTTTTAACAAAAATATTTTCAATAATGCATACATTTATTTCCCTAAAAATTAAAGGAGCCTTTAGAGGTGAATTAGTAAATAAAATTTTCACTTACAGAATTATTCTTATAACCTTCAGAAAAATCTCAAATAAACAAAAATTTTGAAAAGTAGAAAACAAAAATGTAAAATGAAGAGTACATGTTTTAAGATTAGCATAAGGATAATTGAAACAGACCTTGCGATAAACATCCCAAACAATTTTAAAAACACGTTTATCTAATGCTCTGAATATTTGGAAATGAAGAATGAAAAGTCCAATAGTTCCAACATATTTGTATCTGTGGTCAGTTTCATTAGATTCACCTGAAAGTTGAATAGATTTGGAAAGTCTTTTAATAATTATTTCATACAAAATAGGATTTACCATTGTGAATTAGTCTAACAGGAGTTATTACTTCTAGTAGGTATAAATGTTTTACTAATTTATGGATTAATAGGGGGCTTGATTTTTTAAAAAAAAGGGAATTAACTTGGCTGTTAAAATATTTTTTGAACAAGGCCCATAACCTCCACGCTTCTGATTAGATTGAAGGGACATAACTGGAATCATTTTTAATAATTTAATAACTGTGTTAGACTTCCAGAATCATCCAATTAATAATATTTTTTTTTTTTTAATTTCATAGACAAATTTAAAGGAATAAAACGATTCAAAAGTAAACCATAATTATCTTACCAACATTTTAATAATTTAATTTTTTTCACAGTTACATTAAAAACAGTTGACACTATAAAATTGAATAGTCCCAAAATATCTTGCTCAGGCCTATTTCATTAGTAGGTTAGATCCTTCTGGTTCAAAAGAATGATGAATGGTGAGTCATGTCTCATACATGACAGGGCAACCCTGTTACGCACTGTCCTAAACCATCTGACTCCAGAAGATCTCCACAAATCAACATAAAATAAATAACCTAAACCCCCACTTACAAAGACCCTGAAGGTAATACAGGTGGCATGGTGACATCAGAGACACCATTAATTCCTGAAATGCTCCTGCTTCTCATTTATCAAGGCTAGCAACAATTCATAAAAGCCAATCTAATACCTATAAGCCTGTAATGGTTAACCTTTTGCAAGTCAATATGGCAGATGTGAGACTCTTTCCATAACATATACTGACCAATTCTTGCATCCAATTCCATCATCCAGTCTCTAATATTTATTGCATACTCTTCAGCAAACGTCCCATTCTTTGAGACATTGACTTTCTCATCATCAAACAGCTGTTCCACACAATTCTGGTCACAGAAAAGAATTATCAATTGAATGAAATAAATTTATAAAAATTATAATTTCATTGTTAGTGACAGAAATGTGGGAGTCAAGGGTTTGAAATTACCATTACCGTACTAGAAAAGCATATTGCAAATCAAAAAAAAAATTATAATTCAGAGAATCAGGGTTGGAAACCATAAATAATTTTTGCCTAAAGCACCAAATTTGAAATTGGCAAACAATTAAATTGAACAATTATTTCAGAAAATTTTTAGCTTTCTTGATGATATAAACAGAATCCTTTTTAAAAAAATGGTCAGACATCCTAAATCTGAAACTATGGTGTAACTCTTTTATCCACATACCGGTAGCACAAACTTTTTTTTACAAACTTACATCCAAATGTAATGAATGGTGATTCATAATGTTTTAAGACATTCACTCAATAACAATATTAAAAAAAAAAGACAATATTTATTCACTCAAGTTCATTTCTATACAGGAATATGTATTACTAGAGCTAGCATATTTAACTCATAAATAATCACTAATTATATTAAAATTGCTACCGGGTACCAAATTCATCATATGAGTCTATTCATCAAACTTAATTAATATATAAAAAAACAAAAAAGTTGACAGAAATTTGTTAAACACATTATTTTAATTTACAAATTGTGGCTTATACATTTAGGAGGGATGTTAACGTTAGAAAGCATGACCAGCGAAATGTTCTTGTTGTTAGGTCATTTAGATGCCCATCACCATCATTTGAATATAAAGGTTTAATTATGAAATATTGAATACGTAATAATTTAATAAATAAGATATGATAAGATTCTTTTACTGATCTAAGGTAATGGAAAACTCATGTTTATTTTCAGCATGCACATTAATATTTTAATCAAGACTATATTTTACAATTAGAACAATTTAAACACAAAACATTTAAAGTATTTTTCTTGCCGAAACATCAGCCATCATATACCCCAAAAAAAAACCACTGCACCAGTACTACCTTAATGACAATAATGAGTTTATTAGTGAACTTTTAGATTGAATGCAAGTACAAGCTGGAGAGGATTGTTTTGTTTGTTTTTGGTTGCCAAAATCTAAAGCTATGTAGCCAACCTGAAATATCATTCCATCCAAAAGCTTGCCTTCTAGCATCATCAACAGCTTCTCAAAGGGTCGGACTTTGTCTTGTGGGATGCCAAACTTTCCGGGGTCATGGTGCACAGATTTCACCATTCTATAATATTTGTATGACTCATAAAATAGGGTTTTTAACTGATTTGCATTAATTTCACATATTTTTTTTGTTCCTCACACATGCATTATACAGCATACATACCCGGGTTAGATTTCTATGAAAATAGCCATGTCACTGCAAGGTTTACTTTAGCAGCAAATCATTGTTTTGCATGTGCTTAATTCATTAAAGCATAGTTAAGCATGACTTATCAACAAAGTAGGAGATAAAATCTCAATGGTGATATTGAACTTGCCTTTTGTATAATGTCCAGTGATCTTTGAGTGATGGATGCATCTCGATGATATGATCCAAAGTGATTAGGATAGTCAGCAGTTCTCCCAAATGTTCAAACACAGCCTAGAAAATAGTGGTAAGAAGGTGGTTCATTGTAATTTAACTTTTTCATTACCGATGATGTCGACGCAACGTCAAGATCAGCCACTTTCAATTACCAAAGATGTCACATTGTCGTCAAAACAAAGATGCAAAGAACTTTTCAGAAATACCACGGACGTTACATCGACGTCATATTTCAATACTATATATTTCTTTATTCGTTAATCTATAGAGCCGTTAATAGGCGAATCCGATATGATAGAGAATGAAATAATACCGCAAGTTTCATCCATAAGTTTTTTTAATTGCTGAGTCAGCAAAAAGCGATGCCCAAAACCAGCAGTAATGAAAGGGTTAAAACATGACAACCAAAATGTTTTACCAAATGTTTTATATGAAATTATAAAGATTTTATTTTGATTATACATTAACAGCCAAAAGTTTTTTCTCTATTTGATGCATCTACCTGAAGACCAAGTAACTGATTAGGGGCTGCATTATTTATTTTTAATGAATTATCCAAGCTGATTTAAATACATTCCTGATGGATGGGACTACTAATGTGTGCTTGGGGGGGTTCCGAGGGTTAAGTCAAAATGTGTCACAGCGTGTAGTAACACACCTCTCTCATTTTTTATTTTAAAATATTAACACAATCTCGTGTCCCTCAAACCTTCCATGGATGGTTTGATTCTGTTTGATTTCAATTTTATAAAACTTTTTTTTATAGATTCAATGTCAATCTATATATGTGCTTTAGTCGGTGCATCTTTAGCTAGGACATGTTCATCTTAGCCCAAAAAAATTATTTTTTGGTCATTGCTCATTGTTTGTTCACCATTCATGTTATATTTTTATTCAACATAATTCATTTTGGGATGCATATATCCTTCATCAATATTAATTAACATATTTATAACATCTAAACAAATATTTTTAAAATGTTGTTACGGGCAAAATGGAGTTAATTCCCTTTGTTCAGGAATATAAAAATATGTAGGAAAGTGGCACTGCTGCCAGGAGTTATTTAATGATTAACTTAATATAACCATACTTTCCATGTGCATATATTTACTCAGAATAATAGGCTTTGACAAAATTCTCTAATATTCTAATCCTAGAAACAGAGAACTTGATCCAAAAATAAATATTATTACTTGAAAATGTACTTCTGTGACATCAATCATTTTAGGACCAGTTGTTCTGCAGTAAAGAAAAAAACAGAATAAATAAAATCATTGATGACAAAAGATATAGATACTAAAATATGGAAAAAAATGAATGAAAAGTTAACCTTAATAAAATACTGTATATGGTTTCAGAACTTTATTTACTTAAAATAAGCTTCAAGGTTAGCCAAGAACCTACTTGTTTGTATAGAGACATGATAACTGTTTCATAACAGTTTTAACAACCTCATAACATCTGGACACAAAGCAGGAGAGCTCCTGAAAACAAATACCATTAAATTAAATAATGAAATAATTTATTAGACTTTATAGTGTAAGTTGAAATTACTGAAATGAAAAAAATTTAATAAATTAAAATATTTCATTGAATATTTGCAAGTTCTCACAGAGTAATAATATGCCATGGTAGAAACAAGTGTGCATTTACAATTTTCTTCCCTTCCATTAGATTAGGCAGTGGGTACATGTACCTGAAGAAGTGGAAATAAGCGTCCAATCTGTATCTGAGCCTCCCCTTCCTCAAGTCCTTCATCTGGTTCTGTGGTATGAAATACTGAATTATTTGTTTAAATAAAAATGTACAACTTCTGATGGTATTTAATTAATACAGATTAATTTTTTTTATAGGGAAAAACTTTTAAAAGCTTTAAAAGTTAAAATAAAAATATGAATTATATTCACTTTCATTATTGAAATAATTGTTTATTTAATTACATTAAATGTATAAGATATTCAGAAATACTGGGTATCTTATTATATTTGGATTTTGTACCTGTATTTTTATTTATAAATTAGTTTTAAAATTGCATAGTATGAATGAAATTAAAGATAGCACTTAATGCAAAAATGTTGCTTTATTGCATCAGAAGAGCTTTGTAAGATGCTCTAATGACAACATAAAAAAAGTAAACGTGAAATGTTGTTAATATTATACCATCATTTCCCCCCCACCCCACGCGCGCACACACACAAAATCCACCCACCCAGTCTCAATGATGTTGTACGCATGACTTACTTAATTTACTTATAATAATATTGCTGAAATATTTCGGAAGTGAGGATACCCAGTAGTTTATTTTCAGAACCTTTTACTACTTAACTTTTTGTTGGCAGAGTGTTGACAAAACAAATAACAAGGAACGCCAGTGTGGGATAGATTAAAACCTGATTAGTTAACTTAAACACAACCATAAAATGCTTAAACTGGAATTAATCCCCCCCCCCCAACCTCTTTCTATAATTAGATTAAGAAAGCGAAATATACTTCTATAATTCCTGTAGATTAAGGAAGTGAAATATACAATCAGATTTAAAGTATACCTCCTTCTCCATATAGAAGAAGGGCATTATAGAACTTTGTTGTTGCCTCGTGTTTGAGTGCATCAATTTCCGCACATAGTGCAGCCAAAACTGTTAAAACTTTGTTCAAGATCCTATTGTCAGTGTGAATCAGCTGAAGCAAAGTTGTTTGTTCATAAGGTACAATCTGGAGAAAAAGAAATATTTCCAAAATCTTATGTTCAAATTGTCTTGTTTTATAATAGTTAAGTTTCATCAGAATGTTTACATTCCCTGTGTTTTTATCAAATATGCTGCAAATATATCCAGGAAAACAGTGGTGTAATCATCCCAGAGGCCATAACTGTAATTTATTTTTAGCTTGGACCACTATTGATAACAAAATGACAGTATTAATAAAAAATTAGTTGTTTTTTTAAAAATTAATTATTATGTGCAACTCTTAAAATAACCCAGTATCCAGAATGTCTCATAATAACCATTAGAATCTATTTTAACAGAAACAGATAGTAGGTTAGGAAGAATTTAATTATTTTTTAAAATCTCATTAAATTATTGAAAAGCTGTAACAAATACAACATCGGCAAATCTTTGAATACATGTTAATATAAGCATTATAAGTGATACTCCATTAGACCAATTATATTTCCTTATTAAATAGTTAAATTAGAATGACTGAAGTAGCTCAATGTGTTGTAGATTTCACTGTACACGCACCTGCATTGAAATAGGGTCCAGTGACATATCCCAAGCATCCCCAATGCTTTCATCCAGAACATCTTCAATTTCTTTCAATTGTGTGGCATACTCTTCAAGAAAATTTCCATACTTTTTTAGCTGTAACTCGCCAACAATTTCTGAAATATTTACTCAATTGTCAATAATACTAGTACTAGAAAAATTGAGGAATTTTCCTAAGTCTGTGATAAGGACATAAGTCTGTGAAAAGTTTTAAATATAATAAATATATATCAGACCCTATTTAATATAATTATATATCCTACTTAAACTTAATAATTTAAGTTTAAGTTTGCATTTCACATATAACTTATAAGTATTGGCAATTACAATGAATATGGGCCTATGCCTTTTATAATAGGCCTATTGTTATGGCTACTGGGGGGAGTGATGTGCCAACCGAAATGGGTGACAGTGACACCCTCAAAGTGGGCTGACAATGAATTTGACAGAGTGCTCTCAATTCAATTTCATAACATAACGTTTATACCAGTATATACAAAAGCAGAGTGCCATCAGAAAAAGGTGCTACTAGATCAGGTCACCAGAGCAGGGGCCACTAAAGTAGCTAGGATCACCAGATCGTATTTAGTACGGACAGTTTGTATTTTTGACCCCTTTTCCGTAAATTTTGCATCCCTATTTGTCTGTACTTTCCACTCATCATCACCCGGGTCCCTTACTTTAGACTAAATGTTATTCGGATTTCATTTGTGGTAGTTTATTTTAGTTAAACAGAAGAAGTAAGTTTACAAACGTATAGTCCATTCAATTATCATTCATTTGATACCGAATTTTGTCTTAAAAACCCAACAATAATATTTTTACTATTTAAAAATAAAAACTAGTTTCCCTCAGTATTATAATTTATAATCAGTGTTTCTCAACATTTTTTAATGTAGCTCCCAAATTTTAGTGGTTTCTTCAGCACTTTAGGTCATTGTATATTATTATCATAAGCAAAAATCTTTAACAATGATAATGGTTTTATTTTACAAATGTAACAATTGTCGTTATCCATAATGAATAGACTTAGTTTACTACATCAAGAAGTGATACCCAGGTCCAGGTCCAAATAGCCACTTTGATTATTAGTATTATTATTAGTAGACTATTTTGTGTTGGTTTTTTTTCCTTGTTCATTGAATATAACATTCATTATAATTTAAGAATTGCGTAGGAATTAGATATGAATCATTAAAGTTTTATAAAAGGATTCGACTTACTGCGCGAGCCATCATCAAAACGATCGAACTCCCAGTCAGCAGTGTGATTAGTGGGCGTCGCCCCACCAGTCACAGAAGCTTGGGGACTTGATATTGACATTGAAATTTTTAAATTTATAAATCTAAAGCCCCATGTGTATTGATTCTTAAACTATATTGAGTTCTGTTTATCTTTTAATATCTTTATTTATAAGCAATGGATGTAATGTATATATGCACGACAAAGTTATACACTAATTACTCAAAAACACTATCAGTCAGGTGCTGTAATGCTAACCCGGAAGTAAATATTGTATCAACTTGCCAGTATTTTTAACGCGCTAGGCTTATCGTGGCATCTCCTAGCAACGAATGTTGAAATTTGGTTGAGTCAAATTTACAATGGTACAGAAAACAAAATGTGTACATTTTTCATTAATTTTCCTAATTTTTAATCCCACAATTCCCGATATAATTTTATTTCCCATTTTATACAATTACTATAGTGTTCTTTATGTACATTCAAAATTTTAGATACGCCCAGAAGGCATGAAAGCGAAGGTGAAAGCAAGCCCTCAATCAAATTCATTCTAATTCAAGTTTTTTGCATTTTAAATTTATGTTGATTTTTCAACACAATTGTATATTTACTGTTAGGATTGCAATTTTATATAAAATTTAAAGACACTGATAAAAAGAAGATCGATTTAGAAAAAATAATGGGTGGGTGGGGAGGGGGGGGGCGTGCCTGTTCGCGACCACATAGAAAACAATTTACGCCCCAATGTCTTTGGTCAAAACTCACATACCATGGCCTGTGAAACCCTCCTCTAATAACTAACATCATGAACAGTGATTATTTCAGAAATTTTACCCGGGGAGGGGGGGAGGGGGGCCACTTCAGATTTTTTTGGGGGGGGAGGGGGGGCAGTGCCAGTTGATTTATTGTTGGACATATTTTTGCTCCGGGTGGGCACTTGGCCTTCCCCGGGGGAGTGCTCCCCCCTCCCCCGAGATATAGCTGAAAGAATCCCTGATATTCCCTGATATTCATTAAAAGGGGATATTCATGTGTCAAACTGAATTTATATTGTGTTAGTGTATATGCATTTCGCTAAATAGCCTCGTATAATGAATAGGGGAGAGTGTTGAGAAATGGGCCACCAAATGAACATCATTCAAAGAATGCAACTGGTGTTAAGAAATAGAAAATTACAACCTTACAATTTGGCTTATTGATAGCCAGTCCAAATGTGCACTTAGAAATGTAATTTGTATTTAGATATAGTTGATATTTTTTAACAATTCAAAAGAAACTGATGACTATGTAGGTACGGAGAATTTGACATAGGGGTCGGCCATAAATTACGTAAACAATTTTTAAGCAATTTTTTACCCTCTCATCCCCCTTGTGAACAACTGTCAAACTTTTAATGACACCCCCCCCCCCTTTTTAATTATGTCAACATTTTATACCCCCTCCCCCCCCCCCAATGATTATATTATAAATAAATTTACAAATACATTTTACTTTATGCTGATCTATTTTAATGACACAAAATTATAGGAAAAACATTCCAAAAAGTTGTTTCACTTACATGTTATAATGCAGAATCAATTGAAAGGTTGTTAAGGACTAAATATCATTGTTTGTGGTATAAATATGATTATTATCAGTAAAGCTGACAATTATAGTATAGTTTCTAGCTGCTATCATCTTCCAAATGAGTAGCCAGGTTTGCTCTATCGTAACAATGGGCATAAGGGACATCATTTGTGTAGGGCAGGGGAGCATTTGCCCCCCAACCCCTTATTTGCAGGTTTTTTTTTTTTAAATTGTTATGTTCTGTGGCGCCATGGGCGCCCGCAGGGGGGATTGATTGGAAAAAAATTTTTTTGGACAAAAATAGACAAAAAATGTATTGAAGCAAAGAGAAAATAAAGAGAAAGTAACTAAGCTGATGTCCTGTCCGTTCGTTCACCATACAAATACGTTACAGTAAATTAAAACTACATTAAAACATTTTTTTTTTAAATTTGCCCCCCCCCCTTGAAAAATATTTAATTTTTTGCCCCCCCCCCCTAGAAAGTTTTCTGCGGGCGCCCATGTGTGGCGCCTCCATTAATAAACAACTTAACAAGCAGACCACGTTTTAGTTTTGCCCCTCCCCCTCCCCCGAAAAAAACATGAAATGACGCCCTTGATGGGCATAGTCTATAGTAGCTGATTTATCATTNGACCCAGCTTCTCGAATTTGTAGAAGACCTGATGACCAATCTGGAGAACCACAAGCAGACTGACGTGCTAGTAATGGACTTCGCAAAAGCATTTGACCGGGTGAATCATAGTTTGCTTCTACACAAACTCCAGAGATATGGGATCCAGGGCACAACTAAAACATGGATCTCTAGCTTCCTCAGCCACCGACGCCAATCAGTAGTTGTGGACGGTACAAGCTACTCCTTTGTCGATGTGAAGTCAGGGGTCCCCCAGGGATCAGTCCTGGGCCCCTGTTTTTTCCTAGCATACATTAATGACCTACCCGAGAAACAGACATCACAGGCAAGACCGTTCGCAGATGACACAGCAGTGTATAGGACGATCGCCAACAGATCTGACCAGGACCAGCTACAACAGGATCTCAATCTGTTAGCTAACAGATGAGCTGGGACATGGAATTTCACCCTGCCAAGTGCCAGAAACTATCAGTCTCTAGAAGTTGTACTCCTCTACACTACCAATACGAACTGCACGGCCATATACGTGAGCAAGTTTCCTCCGTAAAGTACCTGGGTGTTACCATTCAAAGAGAGGTCCGATGGGACGAGCATATTAACAATGTATGTAACCAAGCAAACAAGACCCTAGGGTTCTTAAGGCGAAATCTAAAGATTGGCAACTCCTGTGTGAAAGAAAGAGCATATAAAGCCTTTATCCGTCCGATTTTAGATTATGCATCTTCAGTCTGGGATCCATTTACCCAGAAGAGCATTGACAGGTTGGAGGCGGTCCAGCGACGAGCAGCACGCTTTGTCCTAAACCGCTACAGGAATACCTCTAGTGTTGGCAGCATGCTAGAAACACTAGGCTGGTCACCATTGGAGAAACGTATTGACAGGTTGGAGGCGGTCCAGCGACGAGCAGCACGCTTTGTCCTAAACCGCTACAGGAATACCTCTAGTGTTGGCAGCATGCTAGAAACACTAGGCTGGTCACCATTGGAGAAACGACGACGACGACAATCCAGGCTCTCCATGATGTACAAGATAAATAATGGGCTGGTCCACTGTTCCAGTATTAAACAGAAACTCGTCCCTCTCCCCCATAGACAGCGACGAGGCCATGACAGGCAATTCAGGCTCATACCAGCAAGAAGCCAGTATAGGAGCTGCTCATTCCTGCCCAAGACCATCAGGGACTGGAACAATCTTTCAAAAGGAACGGTTGAGGAGACAACACTAGACACATTTGTGTCTATTGCCTCAAGCCTTCAAACCCCTAGTACATGATTTCCTCATCAACACCAGTAACAGAAACATTGCAAATCCCATCTACATGCATAGGAGCCAAAATGATCAATAAATTGATCGTGGGCCCTTAAGATATAGAAGAAGAAGAATACCATTATTAGATCACAGTAAACTTAAGAGATTTCCTATTTGTTGCCGGCTCTAAGCCAAAACGTCAGCAGCTCATATACTGGCTTCTTGCTGGTATGAGCCTGAATTGCCTTTTTGTCTTGTTTTCTGATGAATGCTCTAAGCCATTATCTTTGATCCTGTTTATCAAAATACGTTTAGCATACCATGTTCTTATATTATATTCTTTTTCAACAGCATTTTCTACTATGTGACAGCGCTTCTCCGGCGGAAAGAATCTTAAGCCCTCTAAGTTGGTTACCACTTTGTCAAGAGTCAAGCATTTAGTCTGTAGATACTTCTGTATAAGAGTAACTTCCTCGAGTAGATCGCCCCAAATGTAAAGCTAGCAGATGCACGTGAAACCACAGACAATATGTAAAATAATGACAATCGTGATCAAAGGTTAAGGGGCGGAGCTAGTTAAGAATCGGCGAAAATATGAATTTTGGGGTATTTCTGGGTTTCGATTTGGTTTAAAAAATCTGTATCTTTTTTTTTAATAAATAAAAATTAATTATTACAAGATATTAGAAAAATATTTTAAAATGATTATTTTGTTAATTTTATAAATTGTTAAAAGGCATTTTAAAAATCATTTTATATTACTACCGATTCGATTCATTTACTTATAATCGCCGATCACATCGTATTTGGTATCAATGGAAAGCTTTATTGCTCAGAATTCAGATAAATATAGCTTCCTATCACTTACGAAAGTTATCGAACACTTTAAACGGCGCTTAATCAAGTTCAAAACGGTGTTTTTCCTGACCTAATTTAAGATTCATAACATTTCTGACGCATCAACTCTGACCTTTTATTTAAGCACGCATTTGGATTGGTTACATTAGTGGAAAATTTACGTGTGATCGATTATCCTTTAATGAAATTGTGTTAGATCAATCAGTGTGTGTGCTCTGTAAATATTCAATCTTTCAATTTGTTGTCACCCCATTGGATGGTGCGGACCTCTTGCCCGCACCCCTCTAGCTACGCCACTGATAATGTCGAATGAAGGTTTTCCATCCCTAAATCAATTAATAATTATCATCTAATTAATGTCCATAAGTGAGTGCGGACTACACAACGAATTACTTTAAAACTTCCGTTTAACCTTTTGACTGCGTAGTCCATAATAAAGAAACACAACATTATTTCTGTTGATAAAAATGGGTAACGCTGTTACTCAACTTAAGTTTTTCAGTATAATTTACTGCCACCATACGCTGCAAGGCAAATCTGAGATTTTTTATTTTTTTTATTTGCTGCATAGTTCATTATAACTCAGCCTGAAAATAAAGATAATGATAATCCAGTCATTTGAAACAGCTAAAAATCATATTTGATGTCAACGATGGGCAAGGACAGATATACAAAAAATAATTGTATGTTACTCATTATAAAAATATTTTTTTTTAGGACGTACAAACTATACACCAATAGAAAGACAAAGAAAAAAATAATTAGGTTTATTTTGGATTAAAAAAAAAAAATTATCGCCAAAAAAAAAAGAAAAAAAAAAGCAAATTGTAGGCCAATTTTGACAGTTCCTCAAAAGTTGTTAAAGATAAGTGGTTCAACAAACAAGTAGCCGGTTGGTTTTCAAATTCTAGATAGCTCATTTTCTCCCTGTTAAAAATATTTTTTTTAAGGACGTACAAACTAAACAC